CCTCTCGCTGCTTATATTATCTCTGCTTTACTTCTTTCCTAATCATGCCTATGTCACTCACCAGTAGAACTTCACTCTTGATTGCCCCACTCGAGGTTTGGACTTTTCTGGCTTATGCCTTTTATGATTTATTCGCTGGACATGTCCGCCCGGTAAGTGGCTTACGGATAACAACTATGATCCTGCAAGCACGATGTGGAATCGGTGTCTGCAGGTCGGGACACCCGAGCCTGCTTACCCTATTCTGAGAAAAGAGGGATTTCATTTGTCCTATTGTCGCAACACCGGTGGATCGAAGGAGCTCACCAGTGCAAGAATCTGGACACTGGCAGTTGCCGTCACGGTCCTGGATACCAACTGATACTGTTACTGATACCTCCACAGAAAGTCGCCTAACCGACGCTCGGACGGTCTTTCTCCTCCGCCACATCTTCCAGTAGCATATTCCGTTTATTGGTCTTTCGGCGAGATAGACGGTAGATCAGCGGTAATCCTACCGTTTACTGTTTCACTAGGGTCAGTGTGTGTCCCCTCGAAGCGAAAGCATCGCCTGCAGTCCGCAGCCCAGGTCTCCGCGAATGATGCGTCTCGTGTAGATTAAATCGATTCTCATCCACCTGTAAGCTAATGGAAACAACCCCGTAGTTTGCAGGCGTCCCTCGTTGTTAATCCCACGCAGCCCGGCAGTGGGACGTGTGGCNCTGCGCTGTACTCGTTCCAGCTTCTGTGCTTCTGCCTTTGTGCATGGGAACGACGCATTAGCTATTAACACTTGGCGCAATTAACATAAAATGTCTACACCTGACAGATTCACAGAACACCTAACAGAAGGCACCTATCGCCAGCCTACATCCATATATGTAATGATAAAGCCTTACCAGCTAAAGTGCGAGTGTTTTCTTAGCTTCTTACTCCTCAGTAGGCCGCTTCTGGGTAGACGGTTCTCGAACACTCATCCAGGACGGTCTTGAATACCACTACATTTCTACACCTGAACACTTGTTCTGGTAACCTATTCCATAGTGGAATCACTCTGTTGGTGAAGAACCTTGCTCGGAGTTGCAGCCTACTGTGATTACGCTGGAATCTGAAGCTATGCCTCCTGGTGCCACTTTCCGGATTCGCAGAGAATCGTTCCTCGCTTTTGATTTTCGACAGACCGTTCATTATTTTGAACGTTTCAAGTCACCCCTCATGCATCTGCGTCGAAGGGAAAACAAGTTTAAGTCCTTAAGTTTGTCCTCGTAATCCTTGTGGTTCTGACCACATACCATTCGGTGGCTAGCCGTTGGACTCTTTCCAGGCAATCTAGGTCCTTCTGTAAGTATGGTGCCCATGCCTGAACACAATATTCCAGATTTGGCCGAACGATAGCCTTATACAGCGGGACCAGAACCTGCGGGTCTCTGCAGGACATCGTAACCCTTATCCTAAAGAGTTCGCCCCTAGCCTTATTAACTGACGCTATGCACTGTCTGGAGGGCTTGAAGTCACTAGAGACCACCAACTCTAGGTCCTTGGCATGCATAACCTCCATCAATTGCCCTATCTGATCAGGAATGTGGGCCCTTCCTGCCCCTAGCCGTTGAAATTTGGCTAGGTTTAGCGGCAGGTCCCACTTATGTGACCAGGATAGTATAGCTTCAATGTCTTCATCCAGGTCTGCGCCGGCCACCTTCACATTGTCAGTAAATAGGTAGCACGGGTTCCGCAAACTCGTCGGCAGGTCTTTGATGAAAATGAGGGACAGCAGTGGGCCCATTCCGTTTGGGTGCGAGTGGTGTTCATGTCTCACTGGACCATTTGGTTCATGGTGTCTGCATTTTCCTCTTTCAGACTGTCAGACAGCCCCTCCCCAGAGAACCTGTCTGTCGACGGTTCCAGCCCACACTTAGACTCAGCCCACTTGCGGTTGTCTTGCATATTCGTTCAACGGGGACACCCTGCCGCACACACGAGCCAAGCATCTCACATTTGAACTTTGACTTCAGAGTCATTTAGGTTTAATACAGGAAATTCCGAGGAACCGTACGAAGAATGTGTAAAACTGGGCTTTTAAGCAATCTGAATGTGTATGATATACTTGAATTTTTGCGTAAAGCAAGAATAGAGCGCAAGGTGAATCAGTATCCAAACTAGTCGAATTCGGCTTAAGGATGTACGCAGTTGCATTATTTTGCTGGTCATTGGTGTATCAATGCAATTTGAAGTAATTCTTTTCAACACAGTTTCAGTTCGTACAGCGTGATGATGTTAATGAGCAGTGGGATCAGATTAGGCGAGCAATGCATTCCGCTGCAAATGTTGCTCGTGGGACTGAGCCTCAAGCCCGACAGAGGCATTGGATGTCTGATGAGTCTGTAGCACTGATGGAGAAAAAACGACAAAACCCGACCACCCGGAACCAAGACAGGGTTAGGTGACGTCTGCAACGTCGGCTGACAACGAGCCTCAAGAAGGACCGTGAGAACTGGTGGGCAACAATAGCTAGTGAAATGGAAGTAGCAGTCTCATCAGCGAATAGTCAAAGACTGTTCCGATTGACACGCAATACGGAAGGTCCGCCAAACGCGGTTATTGAAACAGTCAGCGATAAGAGTGGACAAACTATTCACAATAGGGATGAACGACTTCATCCCTGGGCGAAAAGCTTCAGCGAACAGTTCGACAGGCCTGCCGCTATACAGGTCACTTCATCTGTAACGGAAGCTTCGTGGGCAGTGTTGTGCGATTCTCCAACAGAAGGTGAAGTTTGGTCTTGCATTTAAGCTCTGAAGCGAGGAAAGGCAGCGGGACCGGATGAGTTCCTTCTTACACTGTTCAAGATGGAGGGTGGTAACCTCCTAAGCTTCATTGCTACCGTACTGCGCAATATTTGGGCGCAAAAACTCATTCCTTCACCTTGGAGCGAATCACTGATCGTTTCCATTTTCGAGAAAGGATCCCGCAACGATTCCGAAAACCACCGCGGGATCAGCTTGATCACGATCGACACCAAAGTGCTAGTCTCAGTCATGCTTCGGCGGCTAACTTCTTTAAGAGAGATCAACATCCGTGAACAGCAAGCCGGACTCCGGCTTGGCCGTGGATGTATTGATCAAATCTTTACGTTGCGGCAGGTCCTCGAGCTGCGTCACACCCACCGTCGACCAACGATTGCAGTGCTTCTTGACCTGAAAGGGGCGTTCGACTCAGTTGACCGCGAAGATGGGTTCCCTTCTTTGAGAAGGAACACAGCAGAAGTACGTTAACTTACTGCGGTCACTGTACTCACATACCTCTGGGCGAGTGAGGGTTTACAACGAACTAAGCAGGCCGCTCGTCACCAGCAGCGGCGTTTGTCAAGGGTGCCTTCTTTCGCCGTTCCTGTTCAATTTCGTCGTAGACGACATAGTGGAGGACGCAGTTAGTGGTCTCCAAAACGTAGCAATCAAATGGACAGTTGAAGAAAAGCTGTGCAATTTGGAATACGCCGATGACATCGTCTGTCTCTTTGGATGTTTGGAAGACGCGCAAAGCGCACCTGATAGACTAACAAGTGCGGTTGCCACATTCGGTATGTCTTTCGCACCTTCAAAGTGCAAAATGATGTTGCAAGACTGAGCGTCCTCTACCCCCGCTCTGAAACTAAATGGCCAGGAATCAATTGTTGTGAATCATTTTTCATACTTGGGTAGTTGCGTGACCAATGACGAAAGCGCAGAAAAAGAGATAGCCATTCGCATTTCCAAGGCTCGAGCAGCATACGCAGGACTGAAACACCTTTGGCATAGACGCGACGTTTAACTGAAGTTCAAAGGTCTTGTATATTGTGCTAGCGTTCGTTCATGGTTGTAGGACCCTGAATTTGAGTAGAAGATATCCGTCGACGAGAAGTTTTCGATTATCCGTGTTTACGTAGTTTAACCCACCTGGGATGGAGCGAAAGGCTTAGTGATCTGGAGGTAAGTCATCGTGTGTTCGCGAGTCTATCAGGGATAAACCTGCTAGCACACCGAATTCAGATTAGTAGACCTAGCTGGCTAGGGCACGTATTATGTATGCTCAGCTGTCGTGTGCTGCACTGCACTCTGTTCCCTGTAGCCGCTCTGGGGCTGGAGGAAAGCACATGGAGGTCAACGGATGACGTAGAGACGAGGCATGAAGAAATACACAGAGCAATTATGTAGAGTGACTGTCTCTCGTTTTCCAGGTTGGGGTCCGAAAGACTCCACAACCGGTTGATGGGACACATTGAAGGATGTGGCAGCGTACCGACAGCAGTAGCGTTCTTGTTGTCATTTCATATCGGGCCAGAACGCTTGAAACGGTATGTATGCAGAGTTTGATAGTGCACTCTGTGTGTTGACTATAGAGGTTAAACTTCGTCCCCCTCTCTTAAAATAGGTCCAACCCGTGTCCACCTTCAATTTTACCACTAACCTCGTATGCACTGCGAGTGTGGCAGCGATCAGTGAGGTTCGCCACACTGTATTTTGCTGTACGATGATGATGATGATGAGAACTCAATTTATTAAACCGAAGCGATATCTAAATTATTTTATGGCAGTTTCAAGGGTTTAACCACTCCGGCCCGTCTAGTGTTACTTAAGACTAACTCGTGGTAAACATCTGAGGAATCGGTTAGATGTGGATAAGTCCTTGGATGGTTTGGATTGAATCAAAATTACTCCGATCCAATACCTGACTCATGCGGTTCACTACTCCAAGTCCCGGGGGTCAGGTTATCAATTTCCACCACTGAATAGCAGGTCCTCGTGACCATAGGGTTTGCCGCGTCTGCGGTTTATCACGCACTGGTGTGTAAGAAAACAAATGCCACGCCTTACTCAACTAGGCCTTATGTAGGTTACCACTCTAAGTCCCAGGAGTAAAGTTGGTAAAGTCGGCTTCTATCAGTGAACTGCAGATATTTGCGATAACGGGCTCTACCCCATCCACAGTTTACCATATACAAAAAACGGTCATGAAAAATATGCTGACTCAGTTGATGTTAGATACATACACAAATGGACAGTGGAGTGTAGGGGGTACCTGGTAGCAGTAGCACCGCTGACGCAGAGGGCTGCCGGCCTCTTTGGGGTATCCTCCGTTCGTTCGTCTTTATCAGGCGCTCAGCTCTCACCTGTAGCCTTAATAAGCTGCCTGGATGCAACAGCGGCCACACCCTGGTAAACCGCTCGACAGGCGGGCCAAACCAGGTTGAGGGTAACCGAGAACTCAACTCTCGGCGAGTCTGTGTCTAACATGTTGGGCGGACGAAGTCGTTATCCCCTTTCACGACTCAATGGTAAAGGCAATGACTCCGTACTCAACATGGATGCATGGACCCTTGTTCAGCTAGAAACTATCAATNCAAGCGCTACCTTCCTGCTGCATTGCAGTTAGCATTTGGATATGCAAAGACTAGACATGCCATCTCGACTCAAATCCGGGTGACGCTCGGGACGATTCCTGTAGCTAATTCCCAAGAAATTTCGAGGATATTCGCTTCATATTCATGAAGCAGGCTTATCCTCTGCCCGGAGCCAGCAGCTGTAAAGTAAGTGGGCAGTGCGATAAGAGATTAGAGATAGTCGAGTCAACCTCGTTCAAACGAGAGCTCGAGGTTGCGGAACAACAAGAATAGGAACAAAGAATTACCTGGATGCGTGTAACCGACGACCGGGAGTTGCGCGTCCTCGTTGGTGGCGATAAACGGCACGCCTTTACAAATGTAACTTGTTGCTTTGAGAAGCTTCCGATAGTTGAACAGCGAGTCAAAACCAACCAGAACACATGTTGTCTGAGAACGGAGGAAAGTCGTTGGATAAATTGGTTCACGTTACGTTGCTTTCAAGCTTCAGATTGTTCAACGGGTTCCCGTCAGGTGAGTCGTCCGGCTGGATGAATGGACAGGGAGAGAGCGAGTAGATAAGTTATCTGGAGAAAATAACAGAATACTTACACCAATTCCAAAGTGCGTGATACCAAGTTTATCGAGTTCCAACCCCATACCAGCCTCGCCAAGCACATAAACAGGACCTTTGAATCCATGCCTGGACAGGTAGTCAGCCGCAATGTGAGCCGAGCAGACTATATTGGTCTAACAAAATTGGAGTAGAAATAATTCAGCAGATTACCGCAGAAACCGGGAGTCCTAGTTTTTGGCACTTGCTCACATACTGTTCAGCGGATTTCGTGCTGTTGTTAGTGATTAGGAAGACATTTCTTTTGGTCCCAATCAGGTACTCAATCAGTTCTTTTGCACCCGATAACAAGCAATCGGAACTCCAGAGGACACCTGCAAAACAACAATTATCTACAAACATCCGAGTAGACTACCATCACAATCGAATAAAAACGTTCGGCAACCGCGAAGCACAGGCAAACCTTCTGCTGCTTGTACCATGTTTTAGCAGTGGCTAAAAATAAAATGAGGAAATTTAATAGAGAACCAGTCAAACAGAATACAATTGGATGCTTCCAAATGAAAATCATATGGATGCGGAAACCTCGATGATAAATCGAAAGCTTGGTAAGCAATCTACTTAGAATGGTACACTTGTTGTCAACGAAGAATCATTCACAGGGAAATATTAGACAATTTACTTTCACACTCTTATGAGGCTGACTCGTCTGTCAATGAAAATCTAAAAGCCGGTGTCATACCGTAGGGAAAACTATGGCGTCAACGCAGGTTACATCATGTGGATACAATCAGCTACTTATTGACTGTTTCAGTACAGTTCAGTTTGTGAAAGACAGAAAATGGTCAAGGCCAATCGACCGTCCGGAATTCCCTCAGCATAATTGTACAGCAAAATACAGTGTGGCGAACCTCACTGATCGCTGCCACACTCGCAGTGCATACG